GAATACGCTAGATAACTTAAAGTGCCTTGTTAACACTAACTTTATGTTCAGTATCTATACAGTGAGGTAATACTTCTAATTAAAACACAAAACCTGGTACGATATGGCACTTAGAAGATGCACCACACAGTAATAATAATAATCATAAAACAACAACATATGAAAAAGAAAGTTAGATAACGAATAAAGAACTTTATCTGAGAAGAAGTCGGTTATATTTAACAAGACCAAACAACGATGATCGGATTATTGTCAGAAAGGGAAAAAAATAAGGAAACTGCAGCACTTTCGCCATTGACTGATATTCTTGGCCATATCCGATAACGTTTCGAATCACCGATTGGGGCTATTTTTCGGAACCCGACCAGGGAGTGGTGACGCTCCGACCGATGCTAACCTACCACAAATACCCTTCACCCCAAGATGCCACGTCGTGGACTGGCCACCTCTCCGCTTTTTCTACCCCGTCCCAGGGACTACAGAACAAACACCGGTATGCAAGCATCTGAGATAACATTCGTAGCACATGTTCAAGCTACATAAGCCGGTGTTTCCAGATGGCGACACTCAATGAATGGTGATCTCCACTGTGTCCAAACATATGCCGCCGGGCCTCAGGATTACTCACACGATGATGATATCAAACAGAAGTAATTCTGCGGAGACAGCGACGATCGAACACGCAGAGTCGCCGCACATCCTCAGCTCAGAGAGGCCAGGTTTCACAGCCGTAAAGCAAGACAATCCACACCGAAGCATTGTACACCTGACCTTTGACAGCCAGGCTAACGTCGCGACGGCGCCAGAGGTGGCTCAAGTTGATGTATGCCACCCCAGCCTTCATTATACGGTTGGAAATCTCACCCGTCACCCCTCCGCCAGCACTCACACAACTACCCAGGTACACCAACCTATCAACAACTTCAAGCCTTTCACCCGCAAGAATGAGTGCACGTATAGGTTCCTGCCAATCTTGTAATAGTACTTTGCATTTAGACGGCGCAAAGCACATACCATACTTACAGACACTGATCGCCAACTGATTAGGTGTGATCTGGGCAGCCTGCATGCTATTGCACAGTAAGACGATATCGTCTACGTACTCAAGGTCGAAAAGTCTATCTCCAAGTAGCAGATCTACACCACCTTCACGCACATCCTTCAGAGCTGACTCCAGAATGTCATCGATGCCAAAGTTAAAGAAAAGGTGAGGAGATTGGGAAACCCTGTCTAACCCCACTGTTGGTTGGGAACAGTGATGATAGTTGGTTGTATGCCCTCACTCTACCTGAGATGTTTCTGTATAGGGCTTTCAAGATGTTAACAAATTTCTCAGGTACACCTCTCTCTAACAGACAGCTCCAGAGCAAAGTTCTGTCCAACGAATCGAAGGCAGCGCTAATATAAAAAAACACAACGATTATCGGCCTGTAATACGAGTGGCGGTGTTCCAACAACTGACAAAGGATGAACACATGACCAATGCACCCACAGCCTGGAAGAAACCCAGACTGATTTCCTCTAATCAACACCTCACGTGTTTTGGACAGCCTGAGAAGCAGAACAGCAGCCAATATTTTAGACGCAATTGGTAGAAAACTGATACCCCTATAGCTGTCGCATGTGTTAAGTCAACCCTTTCTAAAGATGGGGACGATAATGGCTTCATTCCGAACTGATGGCACATCCTCAATTTCCCATAACTTCCTGACAAAACAGGTCAGAACATAGACATAGCTACGAGTAGATTTCGTCTATCCCTTACTTAACCATGCAGCACGATGTTCTAAACTTGATATTGGAATCAACCAATTCTCCATGAGCTAAATAGCATGATAATTTATCATTGCCACCAAATGATAGTAGCAATGCATTCGAGTTCTCTCACCAGGGTTGTATTCACGTTACTAAATAAAGCTTTTAATGAGAGAAATCGATAGCATTTAATAGTGTGAATTACTACAAAAGATCCCCCAGTCTATTGACATCCTATATATTTGGATAGGATGTGGCTTTGAAAAATAAGTTTGAGGAATGCATTAAAACATATAGGGATCACATATGCTTGACCTAGTCACATCCCAACATTTGGCATCATAATCTGTCTACAGTAGGATCATTACTCCTCTTCATCTGACGAACTCCTTTCATTCAGGAAAACCTATATCCCTTGAGATGTATAACATTCTGAAGGAAAGCACACCAAACTCCCACAGAGCTTTACAAAATTCTTGCGGCGAAAGTATGTGTCACAACGATCTGATCAGGTAAGTAAGAACTTGGAATGAGTTATCTAATGCATGAACTTTAGTGACATTATATTGACTACTTTAATATTTACCAGTACTTTACTTATATTACAAGACATTTTTTGATTTCTCGGCTGCAAAAATTATCTTCATCAAGTTATTTGAATGCGAGTATTCTTTTTCATTGAAAACACTCCTCATATCGCATAATAAATTATACAGTCCTGCCTAATCCATATCAATTTGCTTATTGAATATATATCATACTGTAAAACAGTAATACTGTTTACTGGATGACGTTTCGAACACAACTTATTGCCCATCACTACACCAGTTTTAATGACAGAACTTAAATAATTGATTCTCATAGATCCCTTTCCTCTTTTCCATTTTTTCTAAGGGTACTGAAATCTTTTAGATGTTTAGAAGCACTGAATTTGTACGTATTCTCAGTAGATTCAGCAAATAAAGCTTCAAGTCTGGCCACTGAAAAGCGGAGCCCTCCGGTTACTCGGTAAGCTCATGGACCGTTCTGCCAAACCAGGCCATGAATTCTGACCTCTACCGATTCGTGATCTTAGCGCGATCCCAAACCAATATCATCGGCGAGTATTTCCGACCGGTTGGGCCCCACTGGTCACTACTTCTGACTAGAACTCCAGTCAACTTCGTCCTGCTGCCAGTCACTAGCGAGCATCTGAATAATTTTCAAAATTAGATTTGTTCCAAGTTAGATCTCAAACTGTTATCAGTTAAAGGATTAGAGAAATCCCCTCTTTGTATGACGGAACCCTCAGTGTCTTAAATCCTCTACTGTTGTCATCTTTCTTCATGTATTTGTCATTCTACCAAGATGACGAAAACAAATAGAGAAAAGGTAAAAGAACAATGACATAAATCAAGTTGCGAAGCTGTGGACTTACTACTGATTAGATGATTATGAACAATAAATAGCGTTTGAAACGCCATCCAGTGTTTCACTGTGTTATCTATCCAATAAACAAATTAATGTGGAATTACATACTACCACAATGAACAAGTCCTATATATGTATATATATTCAGGTGCTCTTCAGGAATTTCTCGGATAGTATACGATTAACCATACCGGTAATGTGGAGAGGTTGGTGACATTACGCGGTCCTCAGACAGAATTAGATATTATAGAAAAAATCCCCATACAAACATTTAGAAAACAGAAAGATTGAACGAAGAAATATCGACTTCTCAATTAGATGAGGCAGATTTCAATTAGATAAGCCATGTATCGACTTAAGACTGTGACCTGAAAATGAAGTGTTTTGGCCAATAAGTTACATTTGTGTATCGTCCTAGAGAAACATATGGAGATTAATCCTTAAAGGATATACACTCAGCATTTTCTTCTCTTGGTAGAATGGAATCAATGCGTGCAAACCACATAACTTGGAATTTCCAGATATCTTATTAGCATCCAGGTATGTACCACATATTGACATGGTGGGATGATCATTTGGATCAAAATGTCCAGTCTTTGCCGCACACCGTTAGAATATGGTTATTTAGCCAAGTGGAAGAATTTAACACTACTGTGCTACGAGACTCATCTAATATTCTTAGATAATAGAAATATATATTCACAGAAAGGCATTGGCTTCCTCGACAGCGGTCAATGTTAGCTGAGATAGGATCAGATTGCAGAAGAGCTAGTAGTGGTCAAACCAAAAGATGGTCTCATCAGTCAATGAAATCCACAACAGCCACATAAGGAGGTGCAGACTTCCTGGTAAGGGTCCTCGAGATCGAAAAACCAATAGGTGCAGACAATCGGCCATATAACTCTAGATCGTTCTCAACGATAGCGCAGATGTATCCACTCATTGTGATTTATAATATCAAATAAAATTCTATTGCTCTACCATATTACTATTCTTTTTGTCTCAAATTTCTGTTTATTTCTCTCTCTCGTTTAAAATCTCTCTTTGCTCCCTTCTCTTGCTTTGTGTGCTACATGGAGGGATTGTGGCAACTAGTACTGCTGCACATCTATGCAAAATTCTACGATGAAACCAGTCAGTCAGTTGGTCACCAATACCACCGTCCTCACGTTTTTCCATGTTACTACTCTTTCTCGTGTTCATTGAAGCTCTTTTGAATTTTTTTCCTCTTTTCCCCTACCTTTGTGTGCTACATGGAATATATCAAAACTTAAATTGCTGCATTTCTTTGCAAAATTGATTCTTCGATGAAATTTAGTCATCAGACTTTCCATATACATATATATATATATATATATATATATATATATATATATATATATATATATATATATATATATATATAATGAATCTTGTCTTATCACATTTTATCTCCCAGGTAAACTGTACAAAGTTAGTACGGCATAGTTATTCAATCTTAAAATGTGATCTTTGCTTTCAACAGCTTAAAAAACACCACCTCACGAGAACAAGTAAGAATAAGAACATCCCAATTGTGGAGGTCTATTATTAATATTATTATGAGACAAAACAAAGAGAGAGAGAGAGACTAATAGCCATTAGAAATCAATTAAGGACAGGATAGGAACTCTTTCCACATAAAGGAAATGAGGAATACAAACTCATCGGTAAAAAAAGGAGACGAAAATATATCACAGATGACAACACAACTGTACACAAAGTAAAAACCAAAGTTAGTCAGAAGAGATACCGTGAGAAAAACCATATTATTATCATCAGTCTTGTTGTTAAAAGAAGACGAAGAAGAAGATGAATTATTCTCTTAAACTATGCGGTCCTGTATGAATTAATTTATGTCCATTTTCGACTAACTCTGCCAGTGTGATACGACCACGTTTCTCGATGAATTCAGCAACAGCTTCGTATTCCTCATCGGTAATATGAACAAATTTGCCACGATCATCCAATACACCGCTTAGACGACCCGATGACATTAATGATTTGATTTTTTCTACACAAACCTTTTCAAAGGGAAATAAAAAATAATAAAAATTCAAAGAAACAGAGACAATAAGAAAAATTTTAATCTATTCATGCATACTGTACTACATGTCTTACTACTTGACGGATAGCTGGCTGAGCCTGTGTATCGCAATGACCCAGCGAGCTACACTGACTGAAACTGTTACCGCAGGTCTTACCATGACAGAAAGGTTGTTTGGATATCAGTCAGGCAACATGCTGTTACCGTCATAGTTGTTGATGGAGTCGTACTGCTGGCTAGTAGGGATGTAATATCAGGAAGGTGTTTCCCACAGATAATCAACATGCACGATATACCGTCTCTCTATTCTGGAAAGTAAGGATTGGGGAACGTCGATCATGGAAAATGTAAGTCCCAACTTACCTTCCGGAGGTCTGCAATCGCCAGTAAGAAAGAGACTCCCCAAAAACTACTTCAAATAGGCCATGTGTCGCTGGCCTCAAGCAATTGTTCACTGGGCTCTGCAGTCACGTGTAACATTAGTGCTCCTTATGTCTCAGACGCTCCAAGATGAAATTAACTTGCAGCTGAGAATCAATCATCGCCCACACATTTCCACTGAAGTTTAGTGTAAATGATACGATTTATTTGATTTCTGCTCATCCTGAATTACTGAAGCAAACAGCTTTACAATCCTTAATTTCCTTCATTCCTTGTGTTCCGAGTGGAACATAAGGTTCTAGGTTCATGGAGTTTCAGTAGCAGTGGTGTTGTTTCCTATCACCACTCCCAATCTCCCGCTTTTTCCAGGTTTTCTACGGGCTAGGAGAGGTAAAAGGGAGAGTCGGCAGAAAATCGAATCTGAATGACGTGAGTGGCTAACTAGCATTCCACCGTTAAACGAATGAAAACTGAAAACACTTTATTGGCTTAAACGTTCGACTTTCAATCAATAGGTGCCTGATGTGAATATAAACCTATCCTGGGCAATTGGCAAGAATATCATCAGCCCTCACACAATAATTCTGCAGCTTATAGCCTGATGCATGAAACGTTTCTCCCAGGTAACAGTACAAATACCATAAACCTTATACAAAAGCTAAATATGTTTATTCAGACAGGAATTACGCGGTATACAATATTCACTCTTACCTTCTTAATGTATACACCATTTGTTTAGCAGTGGTTAGCTGACATATCTACGATGTGCATTCCGACCTATTTGAGATTCGTCATATGCATTAAACTGCATCCTCAGTGAATGGCAGTGTTCCCCGCTCAGAGAGTTGAACTTAGCAACTATAGCTTCAAACACCAAAGCAATATCTATTAGACTACTGGGTCAATAAAGCTGCTCCATTGCGCAACAGATATCACTTGTTATCTGTTGGCATGATCATTTGGATCAAAATGTCCAGTCTTTGCCGCACACCGTTAGAATATGGTTATTTAGCCGAGTGGAAGAATTTAACACTACTGTGCTACGAGACTCATCTAATATTCTTAGATAATAGAAATATATATTCACAGAAAGGCTTCTATATTATTCTTTACAATATATTCCCTAAGTAAAATCAATCAAGATGAATGAAGAAGATAGCCTTATGAGTGCTCTACTGCAGACAGTAAGCAACCACAATTTACAACAATAGGATGACTTGAATTGCTCAGGCTACTTGTAGTATAGAGTCTGACAAACTTATTCGTATATGTACTGACAAGATTTCACTGCGTAATCACGCAAACTCATAAGCAGAGTAAAAGATGAAACGATGCCACGATTTATTGAGTACTTAAACTGATTATTTATTTATTTATAACTGTTCCCGTGGGTTCCGAGTGGAACATAACGCTTCAACAACACATCTCCATTTTCTTCTATTTACTGCCATCCTCTTCACCTGGGTCCACGACTGCCTATAATTTCTTACCTCCTCCTCACACGATCTCTTCCATGTCATCCTCGCACTTACAATCCACTCTCGTCGCTTATCATTGGGATTCGACTCAAGCAATGACCTGCACTGAACGCGGTGTCACTCGACGGCCTCTACTCGACGTATTCCCGATCCTTCTCCATTTTCTCCTACATATTTGTTCAGCGATAGGCTCCTGGTTGGTTTGTTCCCATAGTATATTTTGTTGCTGATTCCTTATGGCCATTCGATCCTCAATATAGACCGAAGTCAGCTGTTGATGAAAGTCTGCAACGTGCACGAAATCCTTCTCGTGACTCACCTGCCAAGTTTCTGACCCATTTAGAAGAAATGACTTAACATTTGTGTTGAAATCCCGAATCTTGTTCCTCATGCTGAGTGAAGGAGATTTCCAAACAGATACCAGATTGATGAAGGTCTGACATGTCTTTCGGATGCTGGCTGGCTGGCTTTTACACCTTCATTCGTTGTGCCCACCTGTAGTTGAAACTATGCGCCTCCTAGATAAGTGAAAGAAGTAACCCGTTTCAAATTTATTCCGTTGATAGTGATTTGTGCTGGTTGTTGTCGCCGCTGGTTGGTCATCCTCATCAGCACTGACTTCTCTCAGTTTTGCTTTAAGTCCTATCTTCGCTGCTTCTTCAGTCAGTTTGTTGGTTTTTGTCTGCAGTTGAGCACTTGAACTACAAGGTATGATGTGCAAGCTTCAAACTTTCAGCTGAGGAATATTTGTTTCTTCAGTAATAGACAACGGTATTGGGGGAAAAACAGAATATACCAAATACCTCTAGCATAAATATAATAGTCCAAGTAAAGACAAACATACTTCAGTTTTAAGGCCTAAATTAACTGCCAAATGCTCGATTGGAATGATTTTCGCCTCTTCAATAGCTGCAATAAGTTGTGAGTTGATCAAATTCTCTGCCTGATTATCTTGTTGTACAGCATCGACGCCCTCTTCTTCAATACTGAATTCTTGTTTCAAACGCTCATATTCAGCTTGTTCACGTGCTGCTTCCTCTTCAAGACGCTTAGCTTCAGCAGCCGCCTGAATTTAAAAAGGAAAACATCATGAGAATGACAGTGCATATGTTTTAGTAATATTCAACAGACTTCTTGAGATTTATTTCTCTAGTGCTTCTAACATCTGAAAAAAATAATACCGAATAGGCTGAATTTTGAACAGAAGTGCAGCAGTTTAAGTCACAGCCCTTTATGTAACTGATAAAGAAAAATTTCAAAGGAACACCTACCAGTGTGGTTTCATAAAGATGTTGTCTAAATCGTTAACAGTGCTGTATATTGGACCACCTCGTGCAAACACGTCACAAAGCTAAGATTGAAGAATCATCCTCTATCATGTACCTGGTATCGAATAAACTACCGAAGGCCTCTAGATACTGAACATTGCAAACAACAGAGGCTATTGAGATTCGCCTAAAACAAACGGAGCTCTGTATGCACAAGAACCAGGTCCAAAGCTCCTATTGCTACCCTGGTCTTCTGTGAAACCTATAAACTCTGCATTACATTCCTTAATTTATCCGACATTCAGTTTAATGTTATATTAAGACATATTATTATTCCATCTCTCTCTTACTAATGCTCTTAAAATGTAACCTGTCGATAATATTGATGTGATTTTATTTAAAACGTCACACTTATATTAATATAGAAAAAAAAGTCCCATTTGGGCATTTAGAAAACAGAAAGATTGAGCGAAGAAATATTTACTTTTCAATTAGATCCTCATCTCTGACTCATATATATATATATATATATATGCAATGTGACAAGTGCTGACAGTTCCATTCTGTACTATAAGTATTGTTTTTGGAATAAAGTAGATTATTATTATTATTATTATTATTATTATTATTATTATTATTATTAGAAAACCATCTGTAAACGGGAAATTAATTCAGACACGGATGTCTGACGTACAGCTGGTGGTATTTGACTTTATTTGCAGTCTTCACAGTAACTAATCTCTCACCGTCTTTCGTAGACGACTAACCACACCGATTATGTTAAGAGGCTGGTGACATTAAGCAGTCCTCAGACAAAATTAGATAAGGCATGTATCGACTTAAGACTGTGACCTGAAAATGAAGAGTTTTGGCCAATAAGTTACATTTGTGTATCGTCCTAGAGAAACATATGGAGATTAATCCTTAAAGGATATACACTCAGCATTTTCTTCTCTTGGTAGAATGGAATCTATGCGTGTAAACCACATAACTTGGAATTTCCAGGTATCTTATTAGCATCCAGGTATGTACCACTTATTGACATGGCGGGATTCATGAGAGCAGTAGTCCTTCAGTCACTTTTTCTATGCGCACATATCAGTTCACCTGCTGCTGTGGAGCCAGGTGCATCGGTCGTTCCACGCGCACCCTGTCCAAGAGGATTCAAGAACACTATCCAGAATGGTTGCGAAAAGGCAACAGTGGTGTAATAAGGAGTGAGATAATTGAACACCTGGTTAACACTGATCATTCCATCTCAACAAACGCCTCCTGCTTCAAAGTAATCTCCAGAGTCAAGAATAACCTACCAAAGGCAATGCGGTTTCGTCTTCTTTGTGTCGCTGAAGCTCTGGCCATTCACATAGGAAAACCAGAGCTGTGCAAACAACAGAGAATTACTCAACCACTTCTACTGTCATGATAACAACTTTGTTGATTTTTGATGACTTCATTTTGTTTGTTTGCTTGTTTCTCTAGTTGCTTATAATTCTTTCATTGCTTATAATTTTTGTATTCACTTAGATCTCTTACATAATTTCGTATTATCTACTTTGTTTCTATGTGTATCCTGAGTAAAACTCACTCATCAAACTATTCATATTATTATTACATAACTTCTTTTAACAACTGTTTATGACAACTCATCACCTTTGTTACTACCCTAATTTCATTAACACTTAATTTTCTTGACTTGTATTAACAATCTTCACCTGTTTAGCTAAAATAACCATAACCAATTGTAATTTTGTTTGACAAACTTAATGTACACATACATACAAAATAACATATATATATTTGCGATTGTACAGCTTATAAAATGAATTCGCCGAAATGCACCACTTCGAAAACTATTTGTAAACGGAAATTAAATGAAACGCAGATGCCTGATGTACAGCTGACATTATTTGCGATCCTCACAGTAACTAAGCTCTCAACGTCTCTCTTTACAACATATTCAGTGATGACTTTATTTTAAAGGCTTCGCGCAATTAAAGCAACCAGCCCCCAACCCCGCCAAAAAAATGCAACGACACCAAAAACACCCAAGTGACCTATAAATTCCGAAGAAATGTTTGACAGCATGATACTTGTTAGCCACATATTCATAAACTTCCCTATTACTTAGTAACAATAGCCATATTTTACAGCTTAAACAAGATGGTTATTTTAGCTAATAGGTATCGGTTCGCGGGGATCCGTTCGGTTTTAAGTTAGATTATGAACAAATATCCCGACTAAAGAACTATTGAAAACCGGGGAGTGTTGGACAACTTTCTCATCCTCGTTTGGGATTCTTCAGTACTACGCACGCATGAGCCTACCAAATATGACTTAGTTATGGATGACCATGTTGAAATTCAGGCTTTGGGGAAAAAACGAATGACTTGTTCATCCATGTGTATTTACCGATTTGACTGCTCCTCCGGAGCCAGTTACATAGGCCGTACAATTAGGTATTTTTCTCGTCGAATTCCCGAACATCACCCTGCGTGGTTAAGCAAAGGACAAACAAAATCTATTCGCAGCGCTATTCTGTCTCATCTTGTGGATACAGAACACAAGATTGATGTTAACCATACTTTCAGGGTCATTTATCGCACACCAACAAATCTCAACTTCGCATTAACAGTTCGACTACTAAATATTGCTGAGGCTGTTGGAATCCAGATTAAGAAGCCTAATTTATCCATCCAAAAGAAGTTAGTTCAGACATTATCCTTACCTTGGCCATCTAGGTTTGAATGATCCTGAATTTTTGTGGAATTTTCCTAAATTTAGTTGATATTCTACTCGCTACTATATCTTTATTATTATTATTATTATAATTTAAACATCTTTAATGAACTGTAATTCCATTGTGATCTCACTTTACAAATCGATATCATTTAAAAAACACTAATATTGTTATTGACTACTGTTCTAGAATATTCTATGTATATAAACATATATATATAATTGTAGAGCCAGAACCGTCGTTGGCACAGTGGTTAGGACTCTCGCCGACCATGCACATGGTCCGAGGTTCGACCCCCTACCAACGAACACCTGATATCTATGGTCGGCCTGCAAAACTTGGGCTACCGATATCCATGCTGAAAATTCCATACTTGTTCCAAAAATACGGCGTAGAATCAAGTTGTAATCAAAAATAGAAAAAATATTATATGCTGACTACTATTGAAGTTAGGCGCAGAATTTTAAGGGTTAGGAGGGGAAATCATTCCTTCGATGAGGTTATGAATCTGTATCTACGCATGCCGAAAATCACCGTCTCTCACGTGAAGCAATGTAGCCCGAAATAGGATTAGATGAGAAAAGAGTCAGGGATGATCAAATCAAAACCTGGTATCAATTCATCAAGTCCTTGATAGTTGGTTCGAAACACATAGAGGTGTCGACTGCCTGATTGTTTGAAGGTCTCTGAGATGATAAGAACCAATGGTTTAAGACCGTTGTCGTAATATCTCAAAAACGTTACCAATACTAATATTACCAGGGAATAATCCTGTTGACTTAGAATATGCAGATGACATAGCCGTCCCCGCAAGGTGAAGAAGATGAGAAAATGCAGAGTATTCTGAACACCTTGAGTAGTAATCTTCAAATGTTTGGCATGCGACTCTCTCCTCTCCGTCAAATGTAAGATGATCGATGTTATAGGACTGGACCACATCGACTCATACCTTAAAGATAGGGAGGGAGTGAGGTGTTAGTGCGTGTCGGCCGCTTCACTTACTTTGGGTGTTGAATCAGCCCCAACGGGTTCATACACAAGGCTCGTTTGGTGTATGCCAACATACGCCATCTCTGTCTTAGTAGACGTGATATCCGACTGGCTGTCTGATATGTAGTCACATGATGTATCTGCTTTGTTTGGACAGTCTGGTATATTTTGCTATGTGTATATTGATCGTTATTTCATTATAACTGACAATATACTTTGTCTGTCCACTAACCAAATAAACAATTTATGACTTTTTTGTCACATGACATAACAACCAATCAGAATGCAGGTGGTGGTAAGGAAAACTACTGTCTATCTTATCGATTCATGTGTGTTAGTCATTTTCGTATATACTCTATAATTGTACAATCAATACACTCTTTCACACCTTTCGTACTCTTTAGCACCTTCCCACTCACACTCTTATGTAACAGTTAATTTTCCTTGTTGGGAAATACACGTATCGTCGTGAACATGGTGGTCTTCTGATTTGCCACCTTCGCATCACGACAAATTAAGTACTCAGCAGTACCAGTCTGTACCTTATCGTCCGTTATATCTCATTAGCGTATATTTATACTCGGTCACACCATAATATCGGCAACGACCCCATAACCTATTGGCAACGAGTACATAACACTGTCGACGTAAGGAAGTGTATACTGCTCAGAAGTTCTCTCCGTTCTCCATAAAGGAGATGAGACATGGCCATTGAAAGTGGAAGAAATGAAAAGGCCAGTTGCTTTTGATCATAGGTGTCTGCGTTCTATCTCCCATATCAGGTGGTATAATAGGGTGAGTAATATTCAGGTTAGGTGTAGGTTGAGTGCTAGGTAACGGGGGGGGGCATCAATCAACGAGGTTGTGAGATTACATCGATTGAGATAGGTAATTAGGACATGTGTTACGTATGCCTAGGCATTGGCTTCCTCGACAACAGTCAATGTTAGCTGAGATAGGATCAGATTGGAAAGGAGCCAGTAGTGGTCAAACCAAAACATGGCCTCATCAGTCAGTGAAATCCACAACAGCCACATAAGGAGGTGCAGACTTCCTGGTCGGCGTCCTCGAGATGGAAAAACCAATAGGTGCAGACAATCGGCCATATAACTCTAGATCGTTCTCAACGATAGCGCAGATGTATCCACTCATTGTGATTTATAATATCAAATAAAATTCTATTGCTCTACCATATTACTATTCTTTTTGTCTCAAATTTCTGTTTATTTCTCTCTCTCGTTTAAAATCTCTCTTTGCTTCCTTCTCTTGCTTTGCGTGCTACATGGAGGGATTGTGGCAACTAGAACTGCTGCACATCTGTGCAAAATTCTACGATGAAACCAGTCAGTCAGTTGGTCACCAATACCACCGTCCTCACGTTTTTCCATGTTACTACTCTTTCTCGTGTTCATTGAAGCTCTTTTGAATTTTTTTCCTCTTTTCCCCTACCTTTGTGTGCTACATGGAATATATCAAAACTTAAATTGCTGCATTTCTTTGCAAAATTGATTCTTCGATGAAATTTAGTCATCAGACTTTCCATATACATATATATATATATATATATATATATATATATATATATATATATATATATATATATAATGAATCTTGTCTTATCACATTTTATCTCCCAGGTAAACTGTACAAAGTTAGAATATGCAGATGACATAGTCCTGTTAGGGGAGGATGCTGACAAAATGCAGAGTCTTCTGAACACCTTGAGCAGCAATCTTCGTATGTTTGGCATGCGATTCGCCCCTGCAAAATGTAAGATGCTGCTACAGGACTGGACCCCGTCAACCCCTAACTTAGTGATAGGGAGTGAAGTGATAGAACATGTTGACCACTTCACCTACTTGGGAAGTTGTATTAGCACCAACGGACTGATTGGCGATGAAATCTCAGCACGGATCCGAAAAGCTCGAGCTGCTTTCGCTGACTTACACCATCTCTGGCGTAGGCGTGACATCCGGTTATCAACCAAGGGACGTGTGTACTGCTCATCAGTTCGCTCCGTCCTTCTCTATGGCTCTGAAACATGGCCAATACGCGTTGAAGACATGAAAAGGTTGACTGCTTTCGATCATAGATGTCTGCGATCTCTGTCTCACGTTAGGTGGTTTCACAAGATAAGTAATGTTGACGTTAGGCGCAGAGTGTTGGGCAAACAGGGAAAATCAATCGACGAGGTTATAAAGTTACATAGACTAAGATGGCTAGGTCACGTGGTGCGCATGCCTAACCACCGCCTCCCCCGACGGGCATTGCTAGCTGATATAGGTTCAGGTTGGAAAAGAGCCAGTGGTGGCCAAACAAAAACATGGCATCAATCCATGAAATCCTTGACAGTTAAACTGAGTCAGGTAGGGAGATGCAGACTCCCGGGTTGGGGCCCTCGGGACTCTAGGAATCAATGGCTGGAGACAATAGGTGACATGGCTCAAAATCGTTGTCAATGGCGCAGATGTATTCAATCTCTGTAATCTTTCATATTCCTTTCTACCATTACCCATTCTGTTTCACTCTTATATTTGTCAAACTCTATTAATTCTCTTCACTCATCTTCTTGTCTACCTCTGTGTGCTATTTGGAACGTGGCAACTCGAACTGCTGCACTTCGGTGCCAAGTTCTATGTTGAATCCAGACAGACAGACAGACAAAGTTAGTACGGCATAGTTATTCAATCTTAAAATGTGATCTTTGCTTTCAACAGCTTAAAAAACACCACCTCACGAGAACAAGTAAGAATAAGAACATCCCAATTGTGGAGGTCTATTATTAATATTATTATGAGACAAAACAAAGAGAGAGAGAGACTAATAGCCATTAGAAACCAATTAAGGACAGGATAGGAACTCTTTCCACATAAAGGAAATGAGGAATATAAACTCATCGGTAAAAAAAGGAGACGAAAATATATCACAGATGACAACACAACTGTACACAAAGTAAAAACCAAAGTTAGTCAGAAGAGATACCGTGAGAAAAACCATATTATTATCATCAGTCTTGTTGTTAAAAGAAGACGAAGAAGAAGATGAATTATTCTCTTAAACTATGCGGTCCTGTATGAATTAATTTATGTCCATTTTCGACTAACTCTGCCAGTGTGATACGACCACGTTTCTCGATGAATTCAGCAACAGCTTCGTATTCCTCATCGGTAATATGAACAAATTTGCCACGATCATCCAATACACCGCTTAGACGACCCGATGACATTAATGATTTGATTTTTTCTACACAAACCTTTTCAAAGGGAAATAAAAAATAATAAAAATTCAAAGAAACAGAGACAATAAGAAAAATTTTAATCTATTCATGCATACTGTACTACATGTCTTACTACTTGATGGATAGCTGGCTGAGCCTGTGTATCGCAATGACCCAGCGAGCCACACTGACTGAAACTGTTACCGCAGGTTGTTTGGATATCAGTCAGGCAACAAGCTGTTACCGTCATAGTTGTTGATGGAGTCGTACTGCTGGCTAATAGGGATGTAATATCAGGAAGGTGTTTCCCACAGATAATCAAAATGCCCGATATACCGTCTCTCTATTCTGGAAAGTAAGGATTGGGGAACGTCGATCATGGAAAATGTAAGTCCCAACTTACCTTCCGAAGGTCTACAACCGCCAGTAAGATCTTTATAAGAAAGCAACTCCCTAAAAACTACTTCAAATAGGCCACGTGTCGCCGACCTCAAGCAATTGTTCACTGGGCTCTGCAGTCACGTGTAATATTAATGCTTCTTATGTCTCAGACGCTCCAAGATGAAATTAACTTGCAGCTGAGAATCAATCATCACCCACACATTTCCACTGAAGTTTAGTGTAAATGATACGATTTATTTGATTTCTGCTTATCCTCAATTACTGAAACAAACAGCTTTATAATCCCTAATTTCCTTCATTCCTTGTGTTCCGAGTGGAACATAAGGTTCTAGGTTCATGGAGTTTCAGTAGCAGTGGTGTTGTTTCCTATCACCACTCCCAATCTCCCGCTTTTTCCAGGTTTTCTACGGGCTAGGAGAGGTAAAAGGGAGAGTCGGCAGAAAATCGAATCTGAATGACGTGAGTGGCTAACTAGCATTCCACCGTTAAACGAATGAAAACTGAAAACACTTTATTGGCTTAAACGTTCGACTTTCAATCAATAGGTGCCTGATGTGAATATAAACCTATCCTGGGCAATTGGCAAGAATATCATCAGCCCTCACACAATAATTCTGCAGCTTATAGCCTGATGCATGAAACGTTTCTCCCAGGTAACAGTACAAATACCATAAACCTTATACAAAAGCTAAATATGTTTATTCAGACAGGAATTACGCGGTATACAATATTCACTCTTACCTTCTTAATGTATAACATTTGTTTAGCAGTGGTTAGCTGACATATCTACGATGTGCATTTCAACCTATTTGAGATTCGTCATATGCATTAAACTGCATCCTCAGTGAATGGCAGTGTTCCCCGCTCAGAGAGTTGAACTTAGCAACTATAGCTTCAAACACCAAAGCAATATCTATTAGACTACTGGGCCAATAAAGCTGCTCCATTGCGCAACAGATATCACTTGTTATCTGTTGGCATGATCATTTGGATCAAAATGTCCAGTCTTTGCCGCACACCGTTAGAATATGGTTATTTAGCCGAGTGGAAGAATTTAACACTACTGTGCTACGAGAATCATCTAATATTCTTAGATAATAGAAATATATATTCACAGAAAGGCTTCTATATTATTCTTTACAATGTATTCCCTAAGTAAAATCAATCAAGATGAATGAAGACAGCCTTATGAGTGCTCTACTGCAGACAGTAAGCAACCACAATTTACAACAATAGGATGACTTGAATTGCTCAGGCTACTTGTAGTATAGAGTCTGACAAACTTATTCGTATATGTACTGACAAGATTTCACTGCGTAATCACGCAAACTCATAAGCAGAGTAAAAGATGAAACGATGCTACGATTTATTGAGTACTTAAACTGATTATTTATTTATTTATAACTTTTCCCGTGGGTTCCGAGTGGAACATAACGCTTCAACAACACATCTCCATTTTCTTCTATTTACTGCCATCCTCTTCACCTGGATCCACGACTGCCTATAATTACTTACCTCCTCCTCACACGATCTCTTCCATGTCATCCTCGCACTTACAATCCACTCTCGTCACTTCCCATTGGGATTCGAATCAAGCAATGACCTGCACTGAACGCGGTGTCACTCGACGGCCTCTACTCGACGTATTCCCGATCCTTCTCCATTTTCTCCTACATATTTGTTCAGCGATAGGCTCCTGGTTGGTTTGTTCCCATAGTATATTTTGTTGCTGATTCCTTATGGCCATTCGATCCTCAATATAGACCGAAGTCAGCTGTTGATGAAAGTCTGCAACGTGCACGAAATCCTTCTCGTGACTCACCTGCCAAGTTTCTGACCCATTTAGAAGAAATGACTTAACATTTGTGTTGAAATCCCGAATCTTGTTCCTCATGCTGAGTGAAGGAGATTTCCAAACAGATACCAGATTGATGAAGGTCTGACATGTCTTTCGGATGCTGGCTGGCTGGCTTTTACACCTTCATTCGTTCTGCCCACCTGTAGTTGAAACTATGCCTCCTAGATAAGTGAAAGAAGTAACCCGTTTCAAATTTATTCCGTTGATAGGGATTTGTGCTGGTTGTTGTCGCCGCTGGTTGGTCATCCTCATCAGCACTGACTTCTCTCAGTTTTGCTTTAAGTCCTGTCTTCGCTGCTTCTTCAGTCAGTTTGTTGGTTTTCGTCTGCAGTTGAGCACTTGAACTACAAGGTATGATGCGCAAGCTTCAAAATTTCAGCTGAGGAATAATTGTTTCTTCAGTAATAGACAACGGTATTGGGGGAAAAACAGAATATACCAAATACCTCTAGCATAAATATCGGCCGTGGCCCGGATTAACAACGACCGCGCTTCCTGCTGCCGTGTCACAGGGCGGGAGTGATAAGTATGCTACTGAGGCACACAAAACAAGAAGAACGAACAAAAACAGGCCGCGTGTGACCGGCCACAAGCAGTTGTCCCCTGGGCTCTGCGGTCACGCAACCAACTTCCACGGTGTGGGCAGCCGGGAAGTAACAATCGCCCTCACAATCCGAAATGCACACAAAACCTCTCTAATCCTCACTTATCTTTGTCTTCATCTTCATCTCTATTACCTTGCCTTCCTCCACTGATGCAACTCCTCTACTTGATGGCTCCTCACTCCCTCTTCACTCTGTGTCCACTAAAAACGACGAAAGCCAAAAAACCACCACGGATAGTCTCCTAAAGCCACGCCACCAATTTCATATAGGAGCATTTAATGTAAGGACACTTTGCCAAATAGGACAACAAGCATCACTAGCTAAGACCCTGGCATCTCGAGCCATTGATGTATGTTGTGTTTCAGAAACACGCATACAAGACCCAAGTGTGGTTATTCACCTAACCCCACCTGGCCAACAGGATGAATCTTCAAAATTCACCTTGAGGGTGTCAGGAGATGCCACAGCTAGTTCACGGGGATTAGCTGGCGTAGGGATAGCTCTGAGTACTAGGGCAGAAAAGACATTGCTTGACTGGATCCCAGTAGATAGCCGAATGTGTGCTGTCCGTCTGAACGGATCAGTAAGAAGGAGAAAGGACTGCACTACTCGCCGATGCCTTTTCGTAATCTCCGCCTACGCCCCCACTGACTGCAGTTCGGATGAAACGAAGGATGAGTTCTACCAAAAGCTGTCTAGTTTGGTGAGAAAGGCTAAACGCTCAGATATAGTCGTTCTAGCTGGTGACTTCAACGCTCAAGTAGGGAAATTGTGTCAATCTGAGAAGGATGTCGGTGGCACCTATGGAGTTCCGTGCCAGCGAACCGACAACGGTGACCGTCTCCTACAGTTCTGTTCAGATAATCATTTGTTTCTTGTAAGCACTAACTTTAAACACAAGGAGAGACACTGTTTAACCTGGCGACCCCCATCATCAAACCAACGCTGGACACAAATAGACCACATAGCAATAAGCTATCGTTGGCGTGGGTCGGTAGGAGATTGTCGCTCCTTCTGGAACACGTGTGTAGATACCGATCACGCACTGGTCCGGGCTCGTGTGTGCTTACGACTGAACGGACGTAGGAAACAGCTGGCGGTAAAACCATTACGCCCCCAGCTCGATCAGGAAACTAAATCCCTATTTGAGGAAGAACTAGCTAAACGCATATCTGAATCCGACAGCTGTGCTCACCCTGGAGAAGCCTGGAAGAATATTCAGTCAGCTATAGATACAGCTGTAAAAGCTGTGAATAAGGCAAATCCAAAGGTGAGTAAAAACCACTGGATTTCGACTGCCTCATCCGAACTGATAGATGCTAGAAGACTTATTCCGGCGAGCTCCGAATTCAATGAGGAGCGAAAGCTGCACAAAAGGAAACTTACTAAAAGTCTCCGCAAGGACCGTGAACAGTGGTGGGTGACAAAGGCGAAAGAGATGGAAAAAGCATTGGCGATAGGCAACACTAGGCAACTCTTTAGACTCATCAGGAATCGGGTGGGGAAAGGCAATTCATAAGTGAGACTATTTCTGAGAAAAATGGCTCCTTAATTAGCTCTCAGGATAGACGCCTTGAACGCTGGAAAGAACACTTTGAGGAACAATTTAACTTGCCTACAGCCACACTGAACCTCCCCGCCATCCACCACGTACCCGAATGGGATATAGACACTGGTCCGCCGTCTGTAGGTGAGGTTACAAAAGCTATCAGTAATTTGAAACGAGGCAAAGCGGCAGGACCCGACGGAATTATTCCGGAGGTGTTTAAATATGGGGGTGACATACTAGTTTGTAGATTAACTGAGGTACTAGGCAAAGTCTGGGAATCAGAGACAGTACCATCAGACTGGGGTAAGTCACTCATTATACCGATATTCAAGAAGGGAAACAAGTCCTCGTGTGATAATCATAGGGGGATCAGCCTAACGAACATAGTCTCTAAAATCCTAGGCTCAGTAATCATGCATAGACTAAGCAGAACTCGGGAGGAACAGACAAGGGAAAATCAAGCAGGCTTTAGACCAGGTAGAGGGTGCATAGATCATATCTTCACTCTTCGACAGATTCTAGAACATAGACACACTTTTCGGCGTCCAACAATTGTCATATTTCTTGACTTGAAGGCGGCCTTCGACTCCGTGGACCGAAAAGTACTATGGCAATGTCTGACTGTGAAGGGAGTGCCAAGAAAGTACATTGCACTAATCAAGGCACTCTATTCAAACTCACGTAGTCGTGTAAGGGCTTATGGGGAATTGTCATCTGAATTAGTAACAACCAGTGGTGTCCGACAGGGATGTCCACTTTCCCCATTTCTGTTTAACTTCATCATAGATATGCTAATGGAAGTATCCTTAACTGAACGTAGTGACTTAGGAATCGACTTGTTACCAGGGAATAATCTAATGGACTTAGAATATGCAGATGACATAGTCCTGTTAGGGGAGGATGCTGACAAAATGCAGAGTCTTCTGAACACCTTGAGCAGCAATCTTCGTATGTTTGGCATGCGATTCGCCCCTGCAAAATGTAAGATGCTGCTACAGGACTGGACGACGTCAACCCCTAACTTAGTGATAGGGAGTGAAGTGATAGAACATGTTGACCACTTCACCTACTTGGGAAGTTGTATTAGCACCAACGGACTGATTGGCGATGAAATCTCAGCACGGATCCGAAAAGCTCGAGCTGCTTTCGCTGACTTACACCATCTCTGGCGTAGGCGTGACATCCGGTTATCAACCAAGGGACGTGTGTACTGCTCATCAGTTCGCTCCGTCCTTCTCTATGGCTCTGAAACATGGCCAATACGCGTTGAAGACATGAAAAGGTTGACTGCTTTCGATCATAGATGTCTGCGATCTCTGTCTCACGTTAGGTGGTTTCACAAGATAAGTAATGTTGACGTTAGGCGTAGAGTGTTGGGCAAAGAGGGAAAATCAATCGACGAGGTTATAAAGTTACATAGACTAAGATGGCTAGGTCACGTGGTGCGCATGCCTAACCACCGCCTCCCCCGACGGGCATTGCTAGCTGATATAGGTTCAGGTTGGAAAAGAGCCAGTGGTGGCCAAACAAAAACATGGCATCAATCCATGAAATCCTTGACAGTTAAACTGAGTCAGGTAGGGAGATGCAGACTCCCGGGTTGGGGCCCTCGGGACTCTAGGAATCAATGGCTGGAGACAATAGGTGACATGGCTCAAAATCGTTGTCAATGGCGCAGATGTATTCAGTCTCTGTAATCTTTCATATTCCTTTCTACCATTACCCATTCTGTTTCACTCTTATATTTGTCAAACTCTATTGATTCTCTTCACTCATCTTCTTGTCTACCTCTGTGTGCTATTTGGAACGTGGCAACTCGAACTGCTGCACTTCGGTGCCAAGTTCTATGTTGAATCCAGACAGAGCATAAATATAATAATCCAAGTAAAGACAAACATACTTCAGTTTTAAGGCCTAAATTAACTGCCAAATGCTCGATTGGAATGATTTTCGCCTCTTCAATAGCTGCAATAAGTTGCGAGTTGATCAAATTCTCTGCCTGATTATCTTGTTGTACAGCATCGACGCCCTCTTCTTCAATACTGAATTCTTGTTTCAAACGCTCATATTCAGCTTGTTCACGTGCTGCTTCCTCTTCAAGACGCTTAGCTTCAGCAGCCGCCTGAATTTAAAAAGGAAAACATCATGAGAATGACAGTGCATATGTTTTAGTAATATTCAACAGACTTCTTGAGATTTATTTCTTTAGTGCTTCTAACATCTGAAAAAAATAATACCGAATAGGCTGAACTTTGAACAGAAGTGCAGCAGTTTAAGTCACAGCCCTTTATGTAACTGATAAAGAAAAATTTCAAAGGAACACCTACCAGTGTGGTTTCATAAAGATGTTGTCTAAATCGTTAACAGTGCTGTATATTGGACCACCTCGTGCAAACACGTCACAAAGCTAAGATTGAAGAATCATCCTCTATCATGTACCTGGTATCGAATAAACTACCGAAGGCCTCTAGATACTGAACATTGCAAACAACAGAGGCTATTGAGATTCGCCTAAAACAAACGGAGCTCTGTATGCACAAGAACCAGTTCCAGAGCCCCTATTGCTACCCTGGTCTTCTGTGAAACCTATAAACTCTGCATTACATTCCTTAATTTATCCGATATTCAATTTAATGTTATATTAAGACATATTATCATCCCATCTCTCTCTCTCTCTTACTAATGCTCTTAAAATGTAACCTGTCGATAATATTGATGTGATATTATTTGAAACACCAAATTAATATTAGACGGTTGGAGCCACCTATTTGGGAGGTTGTATCAGCACCAACGGACTGATTGGCGACGAAATCTCAGCACGGATCCGAAAAGCTCGAGCTGTTTTCGCTTATTTACACCATCTCTGGCGTAGGCGTGACATTCGGCTATCAACCAAGGGACGTGTGTACTGCTCATCAGTTCGCTCCGTGTTTCCCTATGGCTCTGAAACATGGCCAATACGAGTTGAAGACATGAAAAGGTTGACTGCTTTCGATCATAGATGTCTGCGATCTCTTTCTCACGTTACGTGGTATAGTAAGGTAAGTAATGTTGACGTTAGGCGTAGTGTTGGGAAAAGAGGGAAAATCAATCGACGAGGCTATAAAGTTGCATAGATTGAGATGGCTAGGTCACGTGGTGCGCATGCCTAACCATTGTCTCCTCCAGACGGGCATTACTAGCTGATATAGGTTCAGATTCGAAAAGAGCCAGTGGTGGCCAAACAAAAACATGGCATCAATCCATGAAATCCTTGACAGTTAAACTGAGTCAGGTAGGGAGATGCAGACTCCCGGGTTGGTGCCCTCGGGACTCTAGGAATCAATGGCTGGAGACAGTAGGTGACATGGCTCAAAATCGTTGTCAATGGCCAGCGCAGATGTATTCAGTCTCTGTAATCTTTCATATTCCTTTCTACAATTACCCATTCTGTTTCACTATTATACTTGTCAAACTCTATTGATTCTCTCCACTCATTTTCTTGTCTACCTTTGTGTGCTATTTGGAACGTGGCAACTGGAACTGCTGCACTTCGGTGCCAAGTTCTATGTTGAATCCAGACAGACAGACAGGTTGGAGCCAATCAATAGGAAGCCTTAGACCTAAGTGTCGTGCTAGTTGGCACTCGTCAGCAAGGCGAATCTGCAAACTTGTAGAAACTCATGTCCATCCTGAGAATCGAACCCGCGTCACTCAGTTATGCAGAAACTTCAGAAACGTTATCACTGAGCTATTCGGGATCACGATTGACCTCCTGTAGGACTGTATGGGATAGTTTGATTGGACACTAGTGACCACTGTGATATATCTTTTGGTGCAGACTGAATTCTATCAGTCAGGTTTACACTGTGGCCACTGTTGTGAACTTTTCTTATAATACGTATCTATTCATATTCATATCTCTACCGCTATTAACACTCTTTTTCCCCTTTATACGTTTAAGCCATTTCGGCTTCATTGTAAAATGAATAAAGCCTAAATTCTTGGTTCGTTCGTCTTTTCAAGATTCAAGCATCACTCATCGTTCTAAGACTCAGTCACCTTCGTAACGGCCACCATTCTAGGTAGCTCGCCTTGCTAACGAGTGCCGACTAACACGAAACATTGGTTCAAGGCTTCCTGCCGATCGCCTCCAACCATCTAATATCATCAAGTCAATGTGCACCGTGATGGCAAGCTACCTAGAATGGTGGCCACATTGCAAACCTGAGTGATAAAATTCAGTCTGCACCAAATAAAGGACTAGACACATTACACTGGTCATTAAGTGTCCAGTCAAAGTACACTACACTAATGTTGTCAATAACAGTATAAATGTAGAACCTGATGACTAACTGATTGAAAACAATACTGTTTGTTCATTAATTAGTCTTTGAACTATAATGAGTAGAAATGTAGGAGAGAAAAAATCACAAAATTGAAAGACAGGAGGTCTTAACCGATCTGACAGATTACAAAGACTGAATGTATCTGTGCTATTGATCACTTTTTGAGCTATATATCACCAATAGTCTCCAGTCATTGGTCCTCAGCAGTCTGAGGTCCCCGCTCAGACACTTTAAACACCTCTCTCTCTCTCTCTCTCTCTCTCTCTATATATATATATATATATATATATATATATATATATGACCAAACCAACTGACAAAGTCTTTATGGAGTGATGCCAGGTTTTGGTTTGACCAGCCTCCTAAGCCTTTTTCAACCTAGTTCAATGACGACTAACGTTGCTGCACGTAAAAGGCGGTGGTTTTCAGCATGCTTAAAACGTGTTTTACGCATCGCAATCGGTGCAGCTTCATAACTGCATCCAATGACTTCTCCCACCCGCTTACCTAACATTCTACACCATATATTATACTACTTAACATGCAAGACAGGACGCAAACACCTGTGGTCAGAGACAACTAGTCTCCTCATATCTTCTATTTCGAATGTCTACGTCTCAAAACCATACAGGAGGACAGAGCGAACTGCTGAATAGTACACTTGTCCTTTGATAGGTACATTTATAGTCGGACATCACGTCTGCGCCAGAGATGACATAAGTCAGTAAATGCTACACGAGCCTTTTGTGTATTTGTGGTCAATACACTCAACCACTTCACTAACTAAACAAATAAATCACACCTTTTTAATATGAAGCAATAGGAAAGTAGATTATTTGACCATAGTCATATAAATAATAACAAAAAATCATGTGCACAAAGAAAAGAGACCAGAGACCTATACATAGGACTGTTACAAATACCAACTATTTGATTTTTCATAATTGCAGATATCTGCATAGATTTTTCTCATTTAACAGGTTATGAGACACACTTATTGTGTGAGGGCTGATGAAACTACCTAGTTTCTCAGAGTGAAACAGGTAGGATAGGACTAGAACCCGACACTGCGAAAATTGCATCAGTTTGTGAATTTTCAAACACTATCTATCTATAGCTTCCCGATATGTTCGCATGGGCATTTTAATATATTTACATCATGCTGCCATTCCAATACGATTCAGTGTGATAATGATGAAAAGGCTAGTGTATTTACTTGTTCTGTGTAGAAATCACTGGTTCATTGGCTTTAGCATTCGGCTTTTAGTTAAATGGTACTTGGCTTGAATCTCACTCTACTAACTTCAATATGAGGAGTTGCGCAGTGTCGTTAACCCTCACATAATAAGCATGGCGTGTGTCCTACTACATGAAAAATCTGCTCCAGGTAACTGAATTCTGATAACAGTTCTAACTTTTCGTCAATCTTCGTATGTTTGGCATGCGATTCGCCCCTACAAAATGTAAGATGCTGCTACAGGACTGGACCCCGTCAATCCCTAACTTAGTGATAGGGAGTGAAGTGATAGAACATGTTGACCACTTCACCTACTTGGGAAGTTGGTATTAGCACCAACGGACTGATTGGCGATGAAATCTCAGCACGGATCCGAAAAGCTCGAGCTGCTTTCGCTGACTTACACCATCTCTGGCGTAGGCGTGACATCCGGCCATCAACCAAGGGACGTGTGTACTGCTCATCAGTTCGCTCCATCCTTCTCTATGGCTCTGAAACATGGCCAGTACGCGTTGAAGACATGAAAAGGTTGACTGCTTTCGATCATAGATGTCTGCGATCTCTGTCTCACGTTAGGTGGTTTCACAAGATAAGTAATGTTGACGTTAGGCGTAGAGTGTTGGGCAAACAGGGAAAATCAATCGACGAGGTTATAAAGTTAAATAGACTTAGATGGCTAGGTCACGTGGTGCGCATGCCTAACCACCGCCTCCCCCGACGGGCTTTGCTAGCTGATATAGGTTCAGGTTGGAAAAGAGCCAGTGGTGGCCAAACAAAAACATGGCATCAATCCATGAAATCCTTGACAGTTAAACTGAGTCAGGTAGGGAGATGCAGACTCCCGGGTTGGGGCCCTCGGGACTCTAGGAATCAATGGCTGGAGACAGTAGGTGACATGGCTCAAAATCGTTGTCAATGGCCAGCGCAGATGTATTCAGTCTCTGTAATCTTTCATATTCCTTTCTACAATTACCCATTCTGTTTCACTCTTATATTTGTCAAACTCTATTGATTCTCTTCACTCATCTTCTTGTCTACCTTGTGTGCCAATTGGAACGTGGCAACTGGAACTGCTGCACTTCGGTGCCAAGTTCTATGTTGAATCCAGACAGACAGACAGACAGACAATAAGAAACTATACGGTATGCTGTGGTTACAATTCTATTTTCCTCTGTAGGAACTGTATGAATAGGAAAGCATTCTTCAAGCTTGGGGTTTGCGTCGGTGGCATAGCGGTTAGGATGCTCGCCGGCCATGCACATGGTCCACGGTTCGATCCACTCCTTTACTTCGTTAAGCCAGAAATACTGCTGGTAAAGAGGAAAGACTTGGCATGGGGCTAGCAACCCCATCCTGTAAAATAAACACTGTTACAGAAACTTCAAGCCAATAGCTTGAAGCCCTATGTTCCACTGGGGGACGTGAAGGAAAAGAAAAGCTTGAGGTTTGAAGTTTCAGTAGCAGTGGTGTTTGTTTTTACGGATTGAGCTTATCGGCCTCAGGCCCAACCTTCCCTATTTATCGGACTTACACTCGGTCAGGGGAGGTAAAGATGTGCACTGGCCAGGAAGCGAACCCCGGACCACATGCATGGTCGGTGAGCATTCTACCACTGAGCCACACCAACGTGCACACTTTTGTAAGTGAACTATTTTCCTAACCACTGAAGTGAAAAACTTACTGCAGCTGCTGCAGCCCTCTCTTCTGCTTCTTCCTCTTTTTTGCGTTTCTCAATTTCCTTGTCTTCTATTTTCCGTTGGTGTTCACGATAGCGTTCCTCAGCTTCTCGTTCTTCTTTGCGACGTTCCTTTTCAGCCAATTTCGCTGCTTTCTTTGCACCAATTTTTTTCTTTGGTGTATCTTTCGACTGAGTTTGATCATCATCTGATGTTTGTGCATCCGGATTTTCTACTAAATTCTCGGCAACTCTTTCTTCTTCTTCAGAATGTGAAGCATCTCTCATACGAGTGGCTACACGACGCTGCCCAGCGCGACGTCGTACGCCACCAGCAGTAGCAGCAGGGCGCATTCGAGGACGTGACCCGCCTAAACGTGAAAAACGCAGCACATAATTCTTCTGAAAGATATACAAATGTATTCATTGTAAGTACTTACTAGGACTGAATAATGAAATCTTAAATTTAAATTCAGATAATTAGGTGTCAACTTTTCTGCTAATTAACAAATATCTCGGAAGATGAAAGAAGTCTGGCACAAACCAGGTATCCTTAACGTACCTTCTTTCGTGCTTGAAACCTGTCAAAATTAATCCGAGTGCCATCTAGTTTCGTGTAACTATGGTTTTCAGTTACTACACAATTCAAACTGATTCAATTGCAATTATCACAGGAAGATTTATTTTATGTTATAAACTAAGATGACCAAGTATTTAGTCTCGGATACCCATACATCAGCCAATACTTTAGTTTATAATCGCCATCCTCTAGAGTGACGCAGACAGGTTTAGAGCAAAGCCTTAGGTTACCGTCGGTGGGTTAATGTGTGAATTCTATCCAGACTACGGTTGGATACTTAGAGACTACAAAGCAGCTTTAGATAAATGGTGAACTGTCATTGTCCTCTCATCTCTCACGTCACTAAGGCTCACAACAGCTTTTCCACTTGTCATTTTCTCTGAGTCTGTAACCTCTTTTCTATTCTAGTAGTTTCAGTCACCTAATCTTCGCAGTCGGTCAAGGTGCAGCAGTTTTTGCAACTCATATTCGTAAATCGCCACCATCACCCTTTATGCATCGAATAGTTTGAATAGTCACAAAAACCCACTGACTTCCATTAACTTTCAACTGCAGGCTATCAACAGCTCTCTTTAATGTTTCAAAAGCGGACTCCATATAATGCTAGATTTTGGAATAAATATTTCTATCGTGCTAAGATAAATGCTTATTTGTCGTCTCTGAAACACCCTATGATCACATCGGAAAATGAACGAGGCGTTCAAGACTTCAAGTGATTGACATACACCAACTTCTTCACGAATCGCGTCCAGAAAACTGAACGGTCAATAAAAATATCTTCAGGAAATATACAGATTGTTTTCAAGGGGATATAGTTACCGTTCATACAAATACTATCGGTAGGCCAGATATGGGTAGACTTTCCCTCGAAATTGTCTCATATGCTCACGTGTTCACAGCCTCTACCACGTAAGTCCTTTTCACTACCTCCACGTGGCGTGTGCTCCTAATATTTATATACCGATAACTTTGATGCACAACTGTCGGCCTCCCAAATATGTTTCGAATGGACAGTTGTGATGGGTATCTGGAGGATGTAGAATTACATTATCGTACAGGTGACTGAAAATTGCAAGCTCCATTCTCGGTAAATCCTTAGATCACTTACTGCACCTTTTATAGGGACTACTTGAGAAAAGATCTGGGTTCTTTGCAAATTATTTAGAAACATTCCCAACAGATATACATGGCATAACTGAGGCAGTTGAGGATTTCTAAAAGTCGAGTGGTCACAAATTTGCTTGGATAGCCATATGACTTAGGCATATAACTTAGTTTGGACCTACATATCGTTTCTCAGGTAGAAGGACTTTGAGGAAACGTGACGTTACTTCACTAGCTGTTATATATGGCCTCAAGAATTGCATTTTTTTATTGTTGTCGAAAGTTTGCGAACCAAAAAGTCTGAATATTTAGATCATATTATTGTCTTACAGACTGGAACTTTCCCATCAGTATCTTTCCGGATGCAGTGCAGAAACCTAGAGGCAGACTTCGGACACATTACAGAACTTTGGAGCAGACTGCAAATAATTGTCCCAAGTTCTGCAATGCGTCCGAAGATTTTGCCTCAAAAATCCAGGAGTGCGCCTAAAGCTGAGTTAGCTCTGGCGTGAAAAGGGAATATACTGAAACCAACTTGCATAATGGTGATAATTCTAGACAAAAACGAGAACTAACAACAAAAGAGATCCAATATTTTCTGAGACCAGCAGAGGTGAACTCATCATGATGAGTTCACCTCTGCATTGTCTTTAGTCGTGATGAATCATGTTTCTTCGTCTGAAGAAATCCCTATCTTCTTAAAACCGAGTTTAAATGCTCTAGAATTTTACACCAGAGAACAGAAAATGTAACAATCATTCCTAAAACTCAATTGGAAATAGTCAATACAATGACGTCAATGGTTAATAACAATCATTTGCTTGTTAAAATTTCAAAGGAAAATACCTGGACTCACCAGTCTTAGAAATCTTGCCATAAAACTTCCAAAAAATAAAGATCCCAAACAGTATGGCAGAAAAGAAGCCAAGTGCAGCCACAGGAACCACCATAGTTCCGCTGTACGTATAAAGACTCCAAATTTACCGCTCTTTGGAAGAATTTGAAATGCTGCATAAAATAGCGATCCAATAGTAATATTCAAAATGATTTTGGCCAACCAGTATAGATCTTACTGAGTTCATTGAACTCTCTTCGACATCACTTACTCACTTAGTTCTTAAGGTTTCGAATCTCACATTCAAAGCTTGGGCATTTCACCAGATAAGAAAGGCACGTCTCTTAAGCGCTTTAAATTCTAATGTCGCTAAATTGTGAATTTTGCATTTCTATCTGATTCATCACCGGGTTTTTTCAGAATACTGACTGATAGGAATAAAGGTATAGTCATGTTGCAATCCTTTTCAGATTACTGCTTTTGCTTGTCTAATCTTTTCTTGGATGTGTTGACTGAGGGCGCAGGCGCTTCTCTTCATCTGGAAATCGGCTTCAGAGGTTAATACTCTCCGTGGATATCTGTTCTCTCCTTAGCTTATGAACTTCGGTCTGAAAGAAAGGTAAGGAAAAGATGGACAAGGTCCATGGGTATTTCTTGGAATTTCATCTCAGTCCACATTATGATAAGGAGGAGATATCTGATCTATTATGTTATGGCCGCGTCGGTGGCACTGTGGTTAGAACGCTCGCCGACGATGCACATGGTCCACGGTTCGATCCCCGGCTGATGCACTCCTTTACCTCGCTAGGCCAGAAGAAATGCTGGTAAAGAGGGAAGGTTGGGCATGAGGCTAGCAATCCCATCCTGTAAAAATAAACACTGCTACAGAAACTTCAAGCCACTAGCTTTAATCTCTATGTTCCACCGGGAACGTGAAGCAAAAATTATTATTTTATTATGTTTTTCCTGGAATGACGAATCGGCCATAACAGGAATTATATCTGAAGCCTTCCTTTGAACTCTTGTAGAATATGTGAGTTTACTCTTAGACAAACACTGGCTGCTTAGTTACCAGCTTCCGTTTTTCACATCAGATATGTATGCATGATAGTAAACATTTCACCCGTGATTCTACTTACTTCTCTGTGTATTGCCCATAATTATCTAAACCCGTGAATGAGACACCATCTGTTTCGCCTTATAAATCGTAGCGTACTATGACACCAAGATTCATGTGTACTCGCTTTCAGAGGAATTGTGTCCTCTATATGTCGTATGTGCCAACGCGTGAATTACCGATGTGCATTGCTGCACACTTCACTATGTTGACGGAAGGCATCAGTCCTTCAGACTGATCTAAGAGGCTTGTGAAATCTTTCTTCAATATAAGCACATCACTGTCATCCTTCGGCTCCCTCAAGGATCGCAGGAGATTTTAAGGGTCCAGATAATTTGCTGGTATACAGTATAAATAATGGCTGGTTGGTCACAGTAGTTAGGACTACCACCGACCATACACATGGTCCGGGGTTCGATCCCCTGCCGATGCATACCTGATATCTATGGTCGGCCTTCAAAATTTGGGTTACCGATATCCACGCCAAAAATTCCATACCTGTACCAAAACATACGGTGTGGAATCAAACTGTAATAAAAAAAACTCCTGCACAGTACGTTCTCACTGTTGTCCAGAAGGAGAATTTAATGCTAGTGCTAACTCTGTAACCAATCGACAAATAATTCATCGATACAGATGAGTTGGCGGCCCCTGATTCAAAATTTGCAATTTTACAATCAGTCCTGTAATGGCCATATGTCCTGTGATCTATGAGGACAATTTCGATGAGTTTCATGTTACTACTAAACTTGACTGGCCATCTTTTGCCGTGAACGGCTTAATCAGACACGAACTTACCCCCCCTCCCGAAAATCCTGCTGTACGTTATAAGGTAGGTTGTTCTCTTCATTAGCCTGTAATTTTATTTTTATTAGGGTGCTCGTAAATCTAATGGTCTCACGCTTCTCATGAAACCACCCATATACTAACTTTTGGATGCACCCATTAAATTATATGTTGGCAGTCCATATGAGTTGGGCTAAATGTTGTTGAGCAGCCACCTCTTTGAGAACATTTTGGTGAAGATCGCAGGTTTCCATTGACTTTGCTGTGCTTGGGTTGCTTAAGTACTCGAATACGACGTTTAGGTCTTAGAGACGGTGGGTGTTGACTTTGACGAAAAGAATGATCTATACTGACACAAGATCTAATACCCACAACTTCCATAGTACTTTTCACGTGCAGACTGAAGGCGAAGCGAAACATCAGAATCGACCGTCTAAAGTGCGAAGTACTTTTCGGGGCCAAAACAGAGTGCAAGGATGATCGCTTAACTAGCTAGGAATCGTGTACGAACGGAGGTCATCCGATGGTGTGCCAAATAGTGTGGTTGCTTGAACGTAGGCCTCCAGTTGAACAAATCGACTCAATTAATGAGTGTCAGCGTACAGTGTTCAATGATTGGTGCTGTAGTTAATAATTCTGGGGAATTTCCTACTACTAAAAGTTCTATGTTGACTTGATCTATCCGAACATTTTGTGACGCGGCCAAACATGATGATGGCCAGTGGTATGTGAACTCTCAGGATGAACACCCTGCCTTGGTTCAGTTTTTCCACGACCCACCCTGATTATAATTATGTCGATTATGTCTTCAATTGCTGGTCTTTCGAAGTTAGCTACAGTACTGGCAATTCTGGTACCAAAATATACAGACTGGTGAATAATCCACAATTTGTTATTTAACAAGAATGGCGCCATTCCTTTAGGAGTCGTGTGGGCTGTCATCTGTGCATGAGTTTTGGGTTATAGAGATCCATTTTAAGGCTAATTAAAACCCCGAGGACGCAGAAGACGCGTGGCTAAGAAATGCTTGTGACTTTGAAATCAGTCGGTGACCCATCTGATAATATCCCAGTACATGACAGCGTTCATTTCAAGTGAATACTCAGCATCTTTCTAGGGGAAAACTAAGTGTCATGGGCAGGGAGGAAATGGAAAGAGTTAATGCAACTTAAGAATAGGAAATAGAAGTGACACCGAAACGTCTCAGGATTTCAAAAAGAAGTAAGGCACCATATGGACTTTGCAAATACATACTAACGTCCAAGATTTCACTTCAGAATCGCTTTCAAGTATGCCACAAAATAGTATTTAACGCATAATCGATGAACCTGCACTTTTACACATATTAACCCAGGTAAAAGCGCCTACGTAAGAACGTTTTCTCTAACTTTACGAAATCTGAATTTCATTAGTTTGCATCTTCACCACCTTTAAAGTAGGTAAACCATCTCAGTAAGCGCAAACAGAGGCCAAAGTGAACATCATGAGCGAACGAGTACCCCGCTTTCGCTTCAGTGAACTGGTCAATGCCTATGTTATCATCCTCTGAGACGTAATAAATTCCGCATTTGCACAGGCAGATCCTCAGGGGAATGAAAAATTATTACTTAGAAAAACTCTATATTTGCGTCTTTACACTTCTTTCTGTTTCGGTTTTTTTCCGCTGGCGGTATATACAGGATCTTAGTAGAAAAGCTTAGACTAGAGCAGACATTACACTGCTACACAGCAACGTGTGAAATGCGTTTATCTCGGGGTGCGGATTTTATGCACTCTATATCCCTGAAAAATATAAGTTGTAGGTTGTGGCATGACATCAATGCAGTTACAATAAGCGTATATTAACTGCCAAACGAGGTTTAATTTCTTGGTTGAGACCAGAGGGAACGGTAATTTATAAGTCCAAAACGAAATGTGTGCCCAGATAACTAGGAATCAAGTAAATTGTACTAGATCCAAAACGCATATTCACGGAAACATTCTGTGAGGAGAATAATCCAACCGTAAACGGTTCCTGTCAATGTAGTTGAAGATTGAACGATCAATTCATGGTTGTTTGCTCATTCCCAAATCCATATTTTTCGCGAGAGTCATCAATACGGCAGTCATCGTCTCATCTTTCGCTGTTCGGTGGAAGAGGGAAAATTATCAGAAGTATCATTGCGTTTTATTGCTATAACATTTATTCTTAGACCTTGTGTATAATAACCTCATTGTTGATTACATGTTGGCGTAAGAATAAAGGATTCTCGAGTTGCCAATCTGTTTTCTGGTTTTTCGCGTAGGTTATCACACATTGTTTCTGAAAGTCTTCCAGGGACATCATGAGGTCCAGCGTAGTCAGACCCGGACATTAAGACTTACTTTCCACTCTTTGATTAACTTCTGAGAAGTAGTATTAATGTCCGTAAAAACTTTGAGAACTGTGTAAAAGGTTAAGTAAATTATAATTATATTTCAACAGTTTACACACACTGATAAGTTTTTGGTAACATTTCGAGCATAGTTACTGCCCGTAATTACACCAACTGCAGGAATTGTTTTGTAGTGATTCAGACTAGACGTTCCGCTGGCCGTAGTATTGCTTCTACTGGGCAGGGTTGCCATCCACATACCCAACCTTCCCTCTTTTCCTGGCTCACTGCGTCCTAGTAAACTAGGCGAGGTTCTGGAATTCGTCATCCGGGAATCGAATACTGGACTACGTGCATGGCTGGCAAGAAATCTACGATCAAACCACCGACACAAATCAAACTATTTGCGCACTTGTAAATTGTTTCTTCCATATGTGCGAAATCGTAGTAAATACACTTGTGAGACCCCAAATGTATGCTTTTGGGAAGAAATCAGAGGGAGTAATCAGTGGAGATCATATAATACTGCAGAAAGCAAAATTAGGAGGACACACGAAATATCTATGCGTACAAATTCGTAACATGCTAAACATTTGGCATTTAAGCCATTTCCTGTAAATAATATTTGGCGAACAATACAGGCAGTTGGGTATCAAGCACACTGATGCAAACTATAACTGATAAGCACAACACAGTTATTGGTTGAGACACCTTATCGAAAATATCAACCTTGATGCAATTGTGACAGTAAAGTTCTTACAAAGAAAAAGAGCCAAGCGGCTGTTGTCAACGGGCCCTCGTACTTGGGGCTAGAGCCTTCCTTCCAACGATCCAAATCACTACACCACCCCTCAGTTC